GGGGCTAATGTAACTGATCTGATATTTGCTAAGACAGAAGATGCCTACCGCGATCTGTTTCCTATAAAATCTAATAATGCGAGAATGCAAGCGCTGGTGGGTGTGTTTTTAAGAACTCGCTTTCCACATCCCACCAAACTATTTCTTGAGAAATGTTACTTTCTGTTGGAAAGTGTGCCTGAGTGTGACTGGATTATTTGAGAAGCTGCCGGTAGAAAGGGAGGACACAGTCTTTCATTTCGAGAGAGTCAGACATATTTGGGCATCTCCAACAGTAGTACAAGGCAGCTGGTTGGTAGTAGCCTGAGACTCCTTTTAGAAAGAGCTGATTGTGAGGGGTGGAGGGGATTTTAGGGCTGTGGCAATACATGGTCAAAAAAACTGGAGGAGTACAAAGTGCTTGGTATTCTTCTGTTAACAGGGCTGTGCAGATGGACTTGTAAACCGAAATAGTAAAGTCTTTCTCCTGTGCTTGGCAAAACCAGACACGCAGGACTGGAACTTAAGTGAAGACTAGTGGCAAAAAGGGTGAACCTGATCATTTTTAAAGAAAACCTTGGACATTCAAGGTTTCCAGCTCCAAACCACTGGCCCCATTTGATTTTATTCCATGGAGTGAGGTGGTTTTTGTGTTGAGATTCGTGAAATCGTCTCTTCTCTTTGTATTGAGAAGTTGGGGGATAGTTTTCTTGAGAATGCCTCTCTCTCCTCCCAGAAGTGATATATGATAACAGAATTCCCTGTGAGTTTCTTTGCCTGGAACGGTTCTGAGTAAGTGTGAGAGAAAGGCTGCAGGCGAGAGCTATAGTTTGATTATCATCCTTCCCTTGAAGAGATCAAGTTCCAAACTATTTCCACAGTGTTTTTCATGTCAATCAAAATATGGAGAGCAATTTCTTTTTCAACTTTTCTCGAAACCATGTAGGGAATGCAGTTTGGAAGGGAATCTATAATCTTGGTATCTGAGGATAGATTCCACTTCGAGACTAACATCTCCAAGTCCCCGACAGTTCAGAATTTCCTACCACCACTCTCTCCTCTCGTATGCTCCCCACCTCCCCAAAAAACATTATTTAAAAAAATAATGCTTTAAGTGTTCTACTGTATATAGTGATGGAGCAAAGGGATTTGATATTTTACTTGATGTTGAACTTTAGGCAGCTCTTTGCACTACTTTCTTCCTGTTAAATAGTAGCTAGAACGCATCTCCCCAAGCAGGGAGGTAAACAGGACTCAGTGGAACCACAGTGCAAGGATTTTCATTTTATTAAAATCATTTAATAAAGAGAAATACATTGGCGTACACACCAGGAATATACAATGGATTAAACCATAGGTAACACACTGGGTTGTTTCCATTGTTCAAAGCCAATAGAAATGTGCGACTTAAATAATTCAGATAAAAAGATTGCTTTAAACAGATACAATTCTTTCATTAAAGAGGAGAACCAGGTTTGGATTGCAGCTTAAATGATTTAAATGAGATACATATAAGCATTCTCCCACAGTGAGGCTATTAATAATTCTAGTTGGCTCCTGTGACTGGCCTGGGGATCTTCTACTCTGGGGCAATAGGTTGGTCCTTTGTCCAGCCATGGAAAGTTCCAGAATCCAGCCTGGGTATTCTCTGTTCTGTTAAGTAAAAGGCATCTCAGTAAGTCTTTTCTTAGAAACACATATAGTTGTCTCCATTTGTCATTTTCACAGTAGCATATTCACTAGTCGGTCATTCAGCAAGACAAAAACTGACTTATAGATGGGCATGAAAAGGGATTAGCTCGGTCCCCATCTGCCTGCATGTCTCAGAAATGTGGTGGGGTGAGGCCACGGTGGGGGGACAGGGGAAAACGCTGACCAAGTGGTATGCAAATAGCATGGTAGGACTAAGGAGGAGGTTAGAAAGATGCTGCCAAAGAATTTTCAGATTTTAAAACAGAGTTTTCTGGGTAAATTCTCTCGGAGCCTGGAAATAGAATCATTAGCTCCTCACTGAAAGTCCCTCATTTGTCAGGCTAATCCAGTGGTTCCCAACCTTCTGGCCCTTTAAATACAGTTCCTCATGTTGTGACCCAACCATACAATTATTTTCGTTGCTACTTCATAACTGTAATGTTGCTACTGTTATGAATCGTAATGTAAATATCTGATATGCAGGATGGTCTTAGGCGACCCCTGTGAAAGGGTCGTTCGACCGCCGAAGGGGTCGAGACCCACAGGTTGAGAACCGCTGGGCTAATCCAAGTTTGTTTATTGGAGAGAAGCCCACAGGTTCTGAGTAATTGGGTAATTTAAAGAGATGCTTGTAGTTCAGGCTTAACTCATGAGCATCGCTGTGAGAGCTTCGTCTCCACTCTGGTTCTCCTCCTTAAATAGCCTGGCCTTCGAGGAGGAAGCCATCCACTCTTCGACCTCATCTATCTCATGGGCATTTTGATGCTTCTCCTACCTCCCACGGTGGCTAAGGTGTCCAATGAGATGAGACCCCATTTTCTGAATAGGCTATTTCCTCCAAACTGTCAGCAATGTGAGTCTTCTGAACATTATGCTCATCTTGGCTGGTCTCATCCCCACTTCTTACCTAGTATCCCTAGTTAACTGCTCCTTCCTCATATTTGAGGATCCTTGCCTGGTACTTTATGGGTCCCAGCTCTTTCTAGAACTAGGGAATGCTGGTCCACCCCCAATGTTGTCTTGATTTTGGCTTTGATACTCACAGACAAAAAGACACAAGTATCAGGAGGTAGAACAAGATGGGTCATCCGTGGTGCAAGGCCATATCCAGGAATCAGGAAATCTGAAGATTCAGTTGAGTTGAAGACCGATGACAAGGTGCTGACAACGGAAAGGCCTTAGTAAATGAGGCAGCTTCTCTGCCTCCAGCCAAAAGCATGGAACTAATCCCAGCATGTCAAGCCCGGGCCTTGCAGGGAGGGTGAGCTAATCAGGAGCACCTGGCTGTGGTTCCTGTTGCTATTGAGACCAGGCTGCTCGGTGGATCTGGCCTCTCACCTCTGTTTGCTTCAGTCTTTAGTATCCCCAGCTGGCTCTCCTGTAACTGACTACTGGTGGCACCCTTAACTTCCCAATCCCCAGTCCTCCACCTCTACCACCTTCCCTAGCTCCTCCATCCTCAGGTCAAAAGGGGGCTTTCCTGAACCAACACTGACAATTTGCAACGGCCCAGCTCTAGGATGAGGCTCAGAGAACAGCACAGGGTCAAGCCCAGATGGGTTCGAGATAGGGGAAAACCTCTTCACTCTTTAAGACAGAAGGAGAAAAGTTAGAACAGCCAGAGTTGATGTTAGAGCAGTGATGGCGAACCTATGACATGCGTGTCAGAGGTGACACGTGAACTCATTTTTTTGGTTGATTTTTCTTTGTTAAATGGCATTTAAATATATAAAATAAATATAAAAAATATGTCTTTGTTTTACTATGGTTGCAAACATCAAAAAAATTCTATATGTGACACGGCACCAGAGTTAAATTAGGGTTTTTCAAAATGCTGACATGCCGAGCTCAAAAGGTTCGCCATCATTGTGTTAGAGCAATTTTTGTGGAAAAGAGCCATTCCGCTTCTCACCCCCAAACTCACAATTGGCAGGAGGAGGGTGCGTGTTGTAAGAGGAGGGCATGGCCATGAAGGGGAGGTGATGAGGTTGGTCCTGCCAGGTGTTCTTTCCGGTTGTTGTTGTTGTTGTGAATATCTTTGGGAATCTGTAAAATCCCTAAATCCCGAAGGTCCTTTGTGAACCCACTCTTTGTAACTGACCAGGGAGAAACCCATGAGCTGGGGAAGGTTTGGATGGGAGCAGTAGAAAGTCTTGTAATTCCATTGGAGTCAAGGGGTGGATGGATCAGAACATGAGTGGGGGTGTTCTTTCTTGTTTCCCTGGTTCTTTGGAAGGAAGGATGGCAGAAATACACAGATGTATAGAAGGAGATGACCTCAAATGGCCTCCATTTCAAAGAAAAGGAGATCATTTCTAAAGATTTAGGGCAGCGGTTCCCAACCTGTGGGTCTCGACCCCTTTGGCGGTCGAACGACCCTTTCACAGGGGTTGCCTAAGACCATCCTGCATATCAGATATTTACATTACGATTCATAACAGTAGCAACATTACAGTTATGAAGTAGCAACGAAAATAATTGTATGGTTGGGTCACAACATGAGGAACTGTATTTTAAGGGCCAGAAGGTTGAGAACCACTGATTTAGGGGCTGGAGAAATCAGGAATGGCTGCTGGTGAGTGTTGCTGAGAGGATACCGAGAGCTTAATGAAAGGATGGCTAAGCAGCAATGAAGGGATAGTTGAAGGAGAATATTTTTTTTCAATATTGTAAGTGAATTGGGTGTTCTTAGTAAATAAT